GTAAATAACACAAGATGTATCGTGGTTCACCCTAAGGTTTGAGCTACGTCCACACTGATTATGTATTACTTTGTTTGCCAGGGAGAGAGATGGAGAGAGCTTCTGAGGGTGAGAGAGCCCTTCCATGGCCTAAGAAATTGGCTTCCCCTAATTGTGAGGGTGAGGAGTCCTTTTATAGAATAAGGGCTCCTCACTTATTACATATTTGCCCATTCCTTTATTACATAATTACATTTAAGTCCCCCAAATATTTGTACGAGATCTAAATACGGATGCTCTAAGTATGGTATAAACATAAATAACAATTTTTTTTTGTAATTATTTGCGTAGTGATATTATTTTGGCCGTTTTGCTGCCATTTCACTTGAAAGAGCCTAATCAACCAATTGATGTGAAACGACACTTATAGGTAATACTTTTGCGCGCAAGGACGGAGCCAATGCATGCTCGTGCATGCCTATGCACGTTTCTTTTCTCACGTTTTTGATACTTTTACGCGGAGGGGGCGGAGCCAGTGAAATACCCGCACATACCCATGCACGTTTCCTTTCTCATGTTTTTAATATTTTTACCCGTAGGGGCGGAACCAATGCATGCTCGTGCATGCCTATGCACGTTCTTTTCTCAGGTTTTTAAGAATTTTACGTGGCGCGACGGAGCCAGTGAATGCCTGCGCATCTCATGCACGTTTCCTTTCTCATGTTTTTAATACTTTTACGCGCAGGGTCGGAGCCAATGCATGCCTGCACATGTCCATGCACGTTCCCTTTCTTACATTCTATAGCGGAGTTTGGAATTTTTTACCGGATGGGCTAGTTTAAAATTTTAAATCTTTTTAAATATAGAAACTTGATACCCTATTTCTCATAGTATCAGCTAGCTTAAAAAATTTCACGATGTGAGCCAAAAACATGTTAAAATTAAACAAATCCAAATTTGTACATGTACAATAAGCGATGAGAAAAATAATGTAAGAAAAAGAGATGGTTTGCAAACTGTATTATATAATTTTATATAGTTAAACCTAGATAATTCGAATTAGCGACTAAATATATGGTGAGCTACATTCGAAAATCAATCAAAATTACATGTAAAATTTTATTTTTCACCACAAGCTACTTGGGCTACAGCCCAGGGCAGCCCTTAACTTGGCTCCGCCATTGCTTACATTTTTATTTTTATTTTTGCTATATTAAGTTTTTACAAATAATACATAACTGGATAAATTATATTTACCCCATCAAGTTTGAAGTGAATTACCTCCTTATTTTTTTCTTTTTTGTTTTTCACTATCATGTCCGAATCCATTTTGAATTGTATATACTTATTTGTATGAAGAAGTGTTGAATTATCTTATTGATCAAAACATGAAGCACAAAGAAGAGAAAAGGAAACCGAAGTAGGAAATTTTACAAATTAGATTGATTGTCACTAATAAAAGAGCTCAAGTTACCCCAGCCTGACAAGTTTTGTTAGGTTCCACCTCTTACTCGAATTTCTAACTCTGCTTACGCGTGAATGATTTCATAAAATGCTGAAAAATTGAAAATTTTACTAAAATTGCTAACAAACATATGTAAAATTATAAATCCACATGACATACCTTATCAAAACTAAAACAAAACAAAAATATTCTTCTCACTTTTCTTTCATCTTAATTTCCATTTAAAGTGACACTACAATAAAAATGGCTACTGCGCACTATAAATTATTTGTGCCATTTGAGGTCAAAAAGCACCAACAATTGTGCTCATAGACCAATAGCAACAGTGCAACTACTATCTTTGTGTATGTGCCCTCTATGAGCGTCACCATTGCTGATAGCACACAATATGATGTTTTGTGCTCAAAGAGGCAGGCACAAATAGACCACTATTTGTGCCTCGTTTCTGACAACTTGTTAGACAACCTTTTCCAGAAACGTTGGCACTTCATATTGTAATTGTGCCAACATGAATTAAATATTAAAAAAATTGAGGAAATGAAATTTTTTAATTTTCTTAAAATGAAAAGGCCTACAACACATTCCCAATCTCACAAACATAATGTAATGTTACATATTTTATCTCTAATACAATAAAACTTGAAAGCACATATTTTTGGACAGATGCATTTTCCCCAGCAAGCCTTGCACCTCATCAGAAGCCATAACATATATAGTCGAATTCAAAACAAAATTGGTCTAAAATAGGAAGGCCAGCTTGTCGGTGATACTTAAATCTTCAAAGCGTGGAACGTCCAAATAGGAAGGCCAACTCGCTGGTACTTCCAAATCTCTGGTAACAAGAAAAACACACAAACAAAAGCCGATACTCTTTAGTCTTTAGTAAGAATAATTAAAGAAAAAAGTGCATCTTATATACAATTCCAAGAAGACATAGTATATAACTGTAATGCAAAACAGCAAACCCCTCAAGCCATTTCTCCTTGCAGAGATTGATAAAAGCATTTGTATATCTTCTAAAGATACCATCCAATCGATCCACCAAAATATCAATATCTTGTAGTTCAGGCAATTAAACTATGAGTAGGGCAAAAACAAGCTTTTATGATTTAGTTCTACAAACTGATTCACACAAATAATGAAACCAATAATTCCTAATACCATTTGAATTCGTCGGACGCCAAACAACCTTCAACCACCACAGATAATATAGTATTGATATCCCCTGCTCTGATAGCTTCAAAAAAATGACCATGAGTAAGAAATATATCAAGCAGTAAAATACATTATCACATTGGATATCGCTGAAAAAATGAACTATAAATTTAGACTACCAAGAAGCTCTTGGAAATGAAGGTGACATCATTTACACAGAGCATCAAGAATGAGTATGTAATGGCTTCCAAAATTTTAAATCATGATTCCTTTTCTTTACCTGATCAGATGCTATATATCCTTCCTCCCACAAATTAATTGGTGTAATTATGCTATGTATACATGCACTCGTTTGTGATTGAAACATAATGACTTTTGCCAGACACTTTAGTAACATTTTTAATTTCTTCATGCATGGCAATCAATCTTCACACAGATTAACACATGAAAAAAGCAATCCACAATCCCAATAATGCGACTCTACCTCTTTTGAATGTAGAATAAAAGAAAGATGCAAAAAATAAATAATCTCAAAATAGGTCATTTCCTACAACATATAACAAACACGAATTTTAGGACCTTAGGAGGAGATAATTAGTAGTTGGTTTGAAGTTTAATTGACAGAACACATAAGTCTAATGGAAAAAAAATGCACATCTTGTCATGGGCATCGCAATTAACTGTAAGACATTGACAAATTTTCACATTCAATGATAATGACGTTATCCTATAGTCAAATTGAAACTTCCCCAAAAGAAACCTAATGTAAATTACCTAAATCAGAGTTAGATCTGAGCAAAAAAATTAGGGAATATCTTCTATAGTCAAATTGAAACTCCCCCAAAAGAAACCCAGTTAAAAACAGTCAAGAAACGAAGATTTACATAATTTAATTATCACATGAACACCAGTCAACGATCATGAATTCGAAACAAGAAATACTAAAACAAAGTACTACCTAGAAACCAAAACACATTTAAATTGAAAAATCTTAGAAAAAAGATTACCTGATTTTACCAACGCGATTTCCGATTCAGACTCTACATCCACCGATCTTCCCAAACCTGACCCACCCCCTCCACATAAGTGTTCATGCACATAGAGAAATTGCATGTAAACATACAATATTGTAAATTTTGTATAATTTTATGAGAACCACAAATCAGACACAAATATTTACTTATAAGTTATTATGAGGGGCATTCTTAGCTTGATGGCAAATAGAATATATTTGTACTATTTATGAACACTTGGAATTTACAGGTTACCCACATGCACAACACATTCATCAACTACCATCATGCATTCCAGGACAATAAAGTGGAACCAGGAGCCCCAAAAGAAAAAAGACAATTAACTACTTCAAGTTTAAACGAGTAAAACGGATGTGAATCTTTTCATAAGCTCTTCCATAAACTTTCAGAAGCTACTTGTAACACTAGGATGAATTTAAGCAAAAAGAAAATCCAATTTTTGATATACATAAAAAAAAAAAATCCATACGTGGGTGGGTCTAATTCTTCTCGGCCTAGGTTGGAAACAAACTTGATCCACCTTCCTCGTCCCAATCTTTGACATGCATACATAAAATGGATTTAAAATTCGAAATCTAGAATCAACCCCAAAACTAAAAGTTTTTATTTTGGAAAACAACTTACAGTGGAGGACAACCCACAAGGAAAGGATCATTTTTACCTCTTGGGTCGAGGTCCGATTCAGGCAGGTTTGGCCAAACATTTGTCGGAAAATCTGCGGCCACCGCTTCTTAGATCTAAAATTGACTAAATTGGCTACGAATTTGTAGAAACTAACTTGGGGGTTGGAAAGAGGACGTGAAGAGGATTCTGGAGGTTTAATTTGACAGTCGTTGATGATTGGTGGACGGCTTGCGTGAAAAAGGAGAGAGAGAGAGAGAGAGAGAGAGAGAGAGAGAGAGAGAGAGAGAGAGAGAGAGAGAGGACGAAGGGGGAAGGGAGGAGGGGGAAAATGAGGGGAGAGAGAGGAGTTGGACGTATGCAATGCATGGAGATGGAATTGTGGGCAAAACCATTCCACTCTAACTCTCTTTCACGTCCACCGACCCAAACTCTCAAATCTATAAAACTCGTACGTAATCAATCAGAGGCGGTTAGGAAAAGCAAAGAAAAAGACACAAATAAAACTGAAAAGAAACTTGATAGTTCAGCTGCTATATATACAAAACGAAAGCCCACACATACCATTTGTTCAGTTACACTCCCACAAGCAACTAAGCCAACCAACACCATATTGGGAATTTCAAATCCAGACAACAAAAAAGAAAGAAAAAGGACAACTTAGGTTACACAAATTTCTAAGGTGACCCATTACTTATTAGTTCCTTGTAGTTCTTTAAAGGTAGAACGAAGTACTAGGTTAAAGATCAGAAGCTGGTTCCTTGGGTACATTGAGAAGCAGACACCATCTCTACCAAATCCATCTCTCTCCTTTCGTTCGAAGAAGCTGCAGCTTGAAGATGATGATCCTGTGACGCCAAATATTCCATGTTTGTGTTGTAAAACCCTAAGTGAGGAGGATGATAATTTGAATTATAAGATGATGAATTGTCAGCTCCATTTAAGAGGTATGAGAGGTAAAGGTCAGAATACAGAGGGGTGGTAGTAGTAGGACTGGGGCTACTAGTTGTGGAGGTAGTAGCAAAATCGTACATGTTTGGATTTTGTGAGGGTTCCATTGGACTAACAATTAGTTCAACATTGTTGTCAGTGGAATTGGAAGGCTGTTGAGGATGATTGAGATTGTGAGGGTTGTTGGTGAAGAAATTTTGCATAAAAACAAGTTCATCATAAAAAGAGTCAGCCAAATTCAGTGGAGAGCCAAAACAGTTGCTAGTAGTGGACTGATCAGATGGCTCTGTGACCAAAGTGTTGAGGTGGGTTTTTGATGGATCATTTTGAGAGAGAGTGGAAGAGCTAGTAGGGGTACTAGTGGAAACATTGGAAATATTGGAGGAGTTGTTCATGAGATTCTTGCTTCTGATGTAGTTTTGGAGAATGGAAGAATGAGGCTTGTTTTTGTGGTTTCCATTGTTGCCTTCAGGTTGCTTGTTCTTTCTCTTTGAAGTCTGCCTCCTTTTTGTTGCATTCCAATGGTTTTTAATGGCGTTTTCGGTTCTTCCAGGAATGCGTTTCGCAATCTCTGCCCAACGGTTTCCAACTTTAGCATGAGCATCAACAAGTACCCTCTCTTCCTCTTCAGTCCAGCCATCTTTCTGAAAAATAAAATTTCACCAAGAAAAAAAATATGGAACATAAAATTATGTACTACAAGAGAAAAGCCAATGAATTCTTATTTTTAATCCAAATAATTAACCTTATAAAACATTTTCATTTTTATCAACACCCTATAAATCTATGTAAGCGACAAAAGGGAGGGAGGAGGGTTCGATGGGATGGAGATGAACACCCTATCCACCAACACAATCCTTCACTTGCGAACTCTAATTAATATTTTAAAAATGAAATTTGATTACAAAAAACCTATGCAAAATAAACATTTACAAAAATGTTTACTTCTAAAAGGAAGATGAGATGCTTAAATGTTCTTGAGCTAGAAGTAGAACTAGGGTTTTGACAACGAAATTTGAATCCCCAAACGGAAAGAGAGGAGATCTATGAGATCCACAAATAGATCCTTCACAATCTAAATTTGCGCCTTTGACTTTTAGCTATATCTTTGCCATAGATCACAATCCAGGCAAAAATATAGCAAAATTTGGATACTTTTTCATGGTGAAATTCTAACTTGTAGCTAATTAATTGTACAAATCTAAAAGTGTATCCAAGCAGCAAATTTTTGTTCTTGGTTTATGGAGATCTGAGAACAAATCACCTTGATATCAGGACGCAAATGATTGTGCCATCTTTCTCTACACTGCTTGCCAGCCCTACCCACCAACTTCTCAGCAACCTGTGCCCATTTTCTCTCTCCACATTGCTGCACCAGCCTGATCAACTTCCTGAAAATTTCACCATACGAAAACAAAGCCAAACAAAAGATATAAGAAAACCTATTTAAGTTTACCTGAAATATTATTTGATGGCTTCGAAAAATCGATAAACTATAAGAAAAAACCCAATTAATTTTACATGCAACATTGTTTGATGATCGATCGACACTGAAATACAAAAAATCCACAAGCTTTAAGAAAAAAAAGGGCAAATTAAGAGAACCATCACAAGGTTTCTTGTTACAGATATATATACATATATATATCTATATATATATATATATCTATATATAATCTTACCTGTCTTCTTCAGCAGTCCACTGTCCCTTTATTAAAGTAGCAGCAGTTAAACCTTTTTTAGATCTCTTTCCGACCGCTTTACAACTTCTTTCAGAAACTTTTCCTTCCTCTCCGAAACCACCTGTGGTATTAGGGTTTTGCTCTTGAACCCAACTCATCATCAAGGCCTCTCCTTGTTCAAGAAAAAGTTCATCCACAAAGCTTGGCTCTTGGAGATGATCAGTGATACTATAATTATTAGGCCAAGAAGCTGCTGCCTCATGGCCAAATATTGCACCACCACCACCGCCAAAAGAAGCAAAACCACTCAACCCATTTGAGAAAACCACATTTTGATGATCTATGTTGCTTGCATTGTTTTGGCTTTGATGACTTCCCCACAAGAACCTATCTATGGCTGTCAATGGAGGACCTGCTTTACATAAATTGTGATGCTGGGGAGGATCTTGTGTGTTGTTTGTAAATCCATAAACACCATAATCGCCATCACCACCACCTCCTCCTCTACCTCCCTCCATGAAAAGAGATATTTGAAAATTAAGACTGAGAAAATGCAAGAGGAAAGAAAGAAATTCAGGATATTAATTTAGGGTTCAATTTTGGTAAGCTTTTCTTAAGGGGTTTTTCTTGTTTTCAGTTTGTTCTTACTTCTTAGAGTCAGAAGGGAACAACCTTGAAACGAGTGCTTGACAATTAGCATGTACTCAGCCTAGTAAAGAGCCACATGTCACAATGACCGTCGATGCGGAGATGCATCTAACGGTTCAAAATGTCTTTGGCTGTGACTCCTGAGCTTCCCTTCTTGTAGAAAGTAGAAAGAGCTGGAAGAGATTAGCGCGTTGGTTATAAAATCCACAATTATTAAAAATACATTTTATTACAAGATTTTTTAAATTTTGGACTAACCCTCAGGTAATGATTTGGGCAGCTACCAACTGTTAATCACTTTGGCGCCCATAATGACGGAAAGACATAATTGCCCCCGTATGTACACTCTTAGCTAATGGCACATAATGAAATGAGAGGGTGTTTTGGACCATTTGATACCATAAAAAAATGAGGGACATAAAAGATTGAAAAATGTTTTGACTGTCTGAGTTAATTATGAATTAATTATAATTAATTAGGAAGAGGAATTCTGGCAAAACTTTAAGCCCCAGTTTTATTGCTTTGTTTAGGGCTTATGAATGCTTAGCCAATTGTACATATTCCATTTTCTTTCATATTAATCTCCCTCATTATAATTTTATTTTATATATTTTGTTTCAATTTTTTTTTTGGACACCTGGATGTTTATTTTTGTGGAGCGATTTTTTGAGTGTGCTAGGAATATGACCTGATACACCAAATTTTATAACATAAGTGATTGGAATTTGTTTTTCTTCAAGTATTCAATTACTTGTATTATAACATTTGTACCGGGTCATGTTCATGACACACTGAAAATTTTCTTATTTTTATGGATGAATTTGACTTAGAGAGAGGTAGGGTTGAGAATTTTGACACGAGAAATTTCAAAGAAAATATTAAGCTCAATTTATCGATTTAAAACTTTTGGACATATTTCCGTTACTGGAGTAGATGAAGAAGTTATAAAAATTGAAATATTGGTAATTAATATCTATGAGTGATTACCTAAAATCTAAATTTTATGCTAGCAATGTTTAAATTTATTATTATTATTTTTTGTCCAAAAGCGATATTGAACTTTAACTAGTCTGGTCTCTGAAAGAAGAAGGAACATGAACTTGAGTGCATGATGAGAAGCACACCGATTCTAGCCAATACAGCTACGTCCGCAAAACAAACGTTAAAAGGTCTCCTTAAGGTAATACCATCTTTTAAGAAATGAATCTTTTTATTCAGGGTAATTGGTCTAGCGACATTCATTTTCTGCTTTGTTGGAGGAGATCCCGACTTCAAATCTATAAAGAAACAATTATTAATAAACAAAAGGTATCTATTTTGATTTAGAAGACTTAAAGTAGATAAGATCATTCAACCAAAAAAGAATGTTAATACTTCATCAACAAAACTTTAGCTACAAGTATTACATTTGGAAAAATAAATTGGAAGTATGCTCACCGGCTTGTGATTTTTCTTGGCTATTAGTAAGTGTAAATGGAGCTGCAATTTCCAACTCCTGTAACTCATTGATGCTATATGTTTGCAGGAATAAAATCTTTGCCTTCTTCAACAAGAAAGGAAAAGACTTCACACCAAAAAAACAAAGCAAAACCAAAAAGAACTTAAGCCTAGAAACTGTTATGTGCAGCCAGTTTCTTCAATCTGAGCGCGAGTCAGTTCCTTCATTTCAATCCTAATACGAGCGGTCCGGATCAGGACATTTTGGCCCTGGCAAAAAATATTCCGGCGAATAAACCTGGGACAAACAAAAGTTATTAAGATGAGAGTAAAACACAACAAAATCACATTAGTATTTCAATGTCTTCATTGTTGATTGTGTTGATTACCAAATAGTATACTGAAGAGGTTTAGTAGGCTAAGGGGCACCCTGAACAGGACTAACTAAACCAGCACGCGAGATCGGAATCTTGTTTAAGGAACCAACGAGACTGCAAAGCAGAAGAGTATCTTTAGTTCCTGTATAGATACTCACAAGAAGTTTTCGTGTTGAGCTAAAGTATACATCGATATTACCGATAAGTGGTTGGGCCAGTTTGATGTGAAAACCACATGGAGGTGAAGCTGATGGCAAGTCCAAGCAATCCACTAGCTGTTGCAACAACCCAAAACATTGGCAATTTGATCACATCTCTGCAATATCGAAACCAAAAGAGTAAGTAGAACTGAAGTTAATATGTTTCCACAAAGAAAAGGGCATGAAGTTATGTCAAACTTTGAATTAGGGAGATACGCTTACACGTTCATTATATATTCCCATTCATCAAACAGAACAATCAAGAAGGCAGCAAAAGGTAGAGATAACAAATTATTCAGCAAGACCATTGAAACTTCGTTGAGGGATCCAGATCTTGTGTACTTTTTTGCCTCATCCATGACTCGCCGTAGAGTTAGCAGTCACAAAGAGATAATATTTGCACAAATTATAAAATGATCTGTGTAATACACATATAAAGTTATAGGTCTCCCAAACAAACTATAATTTACATGCATCCAAAATATAGTAATTACTACTTAATGAGTAGCTTGCTGTTAGTACGCAATTTGAAAGCTGCCATGCGTAACCTACTGTGCCAAAGGAGATATCTGTAATGCCACTGCTGATAGAAGAGATAATCTGCAATACATACAGAAAAGATAGTGCTCTTTCAAAAAATTTATGGGGGAAGAAAAAAGTAATTATATTTCATCTACAGAGCAATGAATATGATATGGGAATCAAAATGCTGGCAGTTTCCTGCAACACGGTAAGTGTAGAGTTGATTACCATCATAAACATGGCAGTCCACACTTTCTGATTCTGATGTTTCCAGAACAAATATAATTCTCCAAGCGCTGTTAAAATATTTGTCACATTCTTCAGAATGGTCACCATTGCAATATTTACATATTTCAAACTGAAAGAAAAAACAAATGAAATACAGTACGTCAAAGGTTTGTACGTATGTTAAGAGTATCCTTTAGTAATAAACTTTATGTAGCATCAAATGAACCACAGTACATTAAGCAGTCCATAATCCATATATGTTAGAATACATTTTAGTAATGAACCATATATGTCATCACATGAAGAGAAGTGTATATTTAGATGTTATAATTAATATTCTCTTCACAAGTTGTCGTTGTTCAATTTACCGCAGGTCAGAACAGTAAGCTCCAAACTAAAAGGAAAATAAAAGGCCCCAAAATATGTAGGCCTACAACTTACCTATACATGCCTGATACAAGCATTCCAATGAAGATTACATTGACAGGGATCCAGACCCTAACCAGTTTCCAATTCAGCTTTTCCACTGTAACAACTCCAGATAAACCCAGGAGGACAACAATTATGGTACTTATCAAATTCTGCAGAGAAGCGTACAGAAGAAATAAGTTTTTGCTATGACTGGCTAAATTAAAGGAATTGCAAAGAATTAAAGAAACGATCATCAAATTAGTGACGAGGGATCAATTATCGGCCTAGAAAAATCGAAACCTTTGTACATGTTTCGTCCTTATTCAAAAGAAAGTCGTTTGGAAGGGCATTACGATACGTACTTGATAAAACATCAATGATACGCCTGCATTGAAGTTGTAACCGGACAGAACAACTTTGTTCAGCAATATCATACTACAAGAAGAAATGCAATAAGCTGTCCCAGACAACAGTGGTCCAGATTTCCTTGCTGACCTATGTTCACGCTTTTCATCTCCACTGATTGGAATAGAGACAGTCTCACCGTGCCCTCCTTGACTCCCTCTAAACAATCTGCTTTTAAGAAAGTACCCGAAAAAAGGGGACAATGCGCCAAATTAACAATGTGTCGATATAACCACAAAGCAACCATATTCTAAATTCTCAGCTCATTCCACAACACAACATCAACATATGAAAACAGCCAGAAATTGTCATTATTCTAAGACGACTCATGGGATAAACGCGACCACCTAAGACGACTCATGGGATAAACGTGACCACCATTAACAAAAATCCGTAGTGTTCATCAAAGTTACTTCTTCAACTTAAATAAGTACAAAAACAAAAACAAAAGACAAATTTGTTGTGGAGATTCAAAGCCTTCGATCAACAAAAAGTAAGAGTAACTAAGGAGTCTACCTGTCAGTCAATGTCACAGCTCTTCGTTCCGGAAGAATCAAATGGACTCCTCCATTGATAGAGCCAACTTCTGGGTCCTCACTATCATGGCCCCTCACTGCATCCAACTTGAAATCAGATGACAAATCACCCACCTGCAAAGGTAAAAAAAAATCAACAACCCAATTGCAAAATAAGCTCAAATTTTCACTTCCTGAAGCTAAAAATCGTATCTTTTATACTTAAAGGTACAAATGTTCTTACCAATTAAACCCTTCAAGCTTTTTTTTATTCAGTCTTTCAAACTCTGGAAATGTACACCAGAGACAAAGGTACCGGGATAGCTTAAGTGAAAGTAGAAAAGGGAGATATATCAAACGCTTGGGTAACGAAAATCATGAAGAAAACGTGAATCCGTGAAAACTCATCTTTTTTTAGAGCACGAAAATCTGAGTCAAGTGCGGCAGTACTGTCTGAGAAGGAGAAGGAGAGAGAGAGAGAGAGAGAGAGAGAGAGAGAGAGAGAGAGAGAGAGAGAGGGAGCATTAAGAATGGAAGGAACAGAGTGGGAGGGCGAGATTCCAGGCGACTGCCATAGAAATTGAATGATATTTGGGAATGAGGAACACTACCACATGCACCCAAAGTCAAACCCTTATGCGAATCATCATCCTCCATCTCTCTCCTCTCTCTCTCTCTCTCTCTCTCTCTCTCTCTCTCTCTCTGACTCTCTCTATCTCTCTCTCTCTCTCTCTCTCTCTGACTCTCTCTGACTCTCTCTCTCTCTCTCTCTGTAGAACATTACGAAGAAGGTCAATGAAGGTGTACTGCTTCTTCTTCTCTTCTGTGAATCGAATCAGGGACGCCGGAATCCGGAATTTGGAAAGCAATCACTTTTGGGTTTCGCGTGGAATTTCAAACGGTCTGCTTTTTGCGCGGAAATTATGGATGGATTTTGGGGCTTATGGACTATTTATTGATCTGGGTTTGGAGCAGAGTTCAGGATATTGAAAGAGATTTGTCAACGAAGCCCATCAGGCATGAAATCTTTATCACAACCAAGCCCACCATGAGAATTTTTATTTTCATTTCTGTCCGACGGCACCGAGTTTTGAGGAGACCGTTAGAGCATCTTCAACATGCAATGCAAGTGGTGGATTGCTCTAATAGTTAGGATCTTACTTTTCAATTGATTGTATTCTGAGTTCAAACCTCCCGCTCCCTTTGATTATGATATCGTTATTTGTAGGTTATCATTATGTCTTTGTTCAACCATTACTATATTAGCTAACTTGTTGTACATATGTCATTTTTAGAGTACGCAAATCGGTTAGGATTTTTCTACATACTGGGCTAGGTTTAATTTATTAGTCATTTGGGCTTTGGTTTCTTGTAAAGGCTCGGAATCAGATTCCATCCGCATCCACTTTGTGGGGATCCTAGGGATCTCCACATCTTAGCTATTCATTATGTATCATGCGGTCAGAAATCATTTGACTTTTTTTTTATTTAAAATTACACAAATAATATCTGACGAAAACTGACCGCACAATAAACAATGAACGGCTAGGATGTGGGGATACCTAGGATCCCCACAAAATGAATCGGGAGACGATCCTTTTCCCACATATATCTCTTATATGCCAAGTCATGAATGCGTATCCAAGTGTAAACCTCTACATCCGTACAATCATCCAATTTACCAATTCTACATGGTATCACTCGTCTAGATTTCTCTATAACTCAAAACCCTAACCTTATTCTCTCTTCCCTGAAAACCTAAAGATTCTTATTTCCTCCATGGCTTCTGCTGCTGTCGTTGTTGCTTCCTCCACCTTCGACCCTTCTTTTTCGGTTGCCAACGTCGCCCACTTTCTCAAGCTCACTAACTTCAACTACCTTAAATGGTTGAGTACGTTGATGGCCTGATAACGCTCTCATCGCCAAACTTGGCCGGCCAAACCTAATCCTTTGTTCGTTACTTGGTTCCAGGCTGACCAATTGGTCTGTATTTATCTCACCTCTACCATGTCCGAGGCCATTCTCTCTCTCGTTGTCAACAAAACTTTGTCAAAAGCTACTTCGGACTGCCTCCGTGATCACTTCTCTCAAGTTTCCATCGCCAATGCCACCAACCTTCGATGTCAGTTGCTTGATCTCACTAAGGGCACTAGCACCAAACTCACGAGATTGTTCATCGTGTATCATGCATGTTCTCATACTTCCCAACAAAATAGTTTGGTGGAGTGCAAATTAAAATACCCTACTTTATATGACGTTACAAAATTAAATCTAACAGTTTATGCATGGTACAAAAAGAAAGATAAAATATAATTAAATTGGAAAAAATACAAAACAGATAGTTTTCATAATGCAGAATATTAATAAGCAAAAATTTACCCCAAAAAAGGCTTAGAATCCATTACAGACTACTCCAATTGACACTATAGGTAGGAAAGCATATACCAAATAGAGTTTAATAATTTTCTTAGCATTAAATAAATAAATAAAATGCACGACAAGTAATTAAGGAAGAATGCAGCCCTAGGGGGGCCTTATTCGCCTTCCACCTAAGCTGCGCAAGAAAGGCTCAAGGATCATCCTAGGGAATAGTGAAGCTTTATAGGGTCTTTCTGTCCAGGTGTAGGTAGTTCGCATCTTCATAGGGTCTTTATGACCGAATGTAGGTACTTGTCATATCTCATTAGCATTTCGGCGCTATGATTGTGTTGACCCTAAAAACTACCAAGCCTATGTGGCAGGCAAGCCGAGTAATTAATAAGCTAACTACGTCATTCGGTTGTGTGCAGGGCATGCCAACTCATCGGTCGAGCTCGGTCCGGGAGTAAAATGTGTTGATGTTTGGTTGAGCGCGCTGCTGATTTCTTGATCTTGCGATTGCGGCCGAGGAAGGAACACGTCTCAGCCTTCAGGTTTTAGAGCCTGAAGACACGACTGCTAGTTTTGCAAAGTTCAATATCAGATTCGGCTTTTAATGTGCCGAATGTAGTAACCTAGTAACACATCACTTCGTCGAAAAGGCTGATGAGATGACCTCTACCAACCAGGACTCGAAAATCCTTATTGACTGAGACTTGGATAGGTAATCAGTCGACTTCGAAGCAATGCTGTTTATCCAAACTGAAGGTGCTCCGTTATCGGCTAACTCTATGACAATAATGTTGTTTATCCAAACTGAAGATGTCACCGGTTGCCTTCTCAATGCTATTTATCCAAACTGAAGATGTGTTGGCGGAAAAAAGAAAATAAAAATTTCAAGGTTGTTGAGAGGTTTCGCGTAGAACGATAGTTTACGTAGGGCAGTTTGTGTGTTGAATTGAAGACCCTTTTAGTCGTCTACCGCTCGGTATTTATAGAATCAAAACTCTTAGACGTGTTGTAGAATCCAAGTTGTGAACATCCAACCATCTTTGATGATAAATCACAACCATCCTTTTTCCCAATCTTAATTGCCGCGCCATCAGGAGAATAAAAACTGGATAAAATGGCATATGCCATCTTTTATCCCATATTTCCACATGCATAGGTTCATAAAATAAACAATACCTTTATTGGCTAATTATCCAAGCAAGTTACCCTGTGCTGGATGAGTAAACCAATCTCCTCCACCTCGTTGACCAACCAACGATGGTCATCAGATCATCTTTATCTAAGCCAACTAACTTTGATCAAATCTCATCTTTATCTCCATTGCGTTTGTATAAATGCATGGAAGATAGTCTGCCATACTCTAACTCCATTCATGATAGTCATGCTATCTATTCACGAGATTGCAACAATATTAATTCACACGGCATCGTATCAAATCACCACGACTTTATCACCCAACTGTGCTCTAGATAATTCAATATATTATTAAGAGATAATTATTATGATAAAATCACAATATTATTCCTTAATAATAACTAAAATTATCCTGACTCAGTTACCTAACGGCTTAGAACTTCGTTCACTCAATAGCCTCGATTATTCGGACCGATTGTGTAATTTTGGGTCCAAACAGATTGATCTCTAAAATACGGTGAATTTTGGGTTCTTCTAAAGTGTCGGTCCATTTGTGGCCTTCGAATATCTTTGCGACGGTGCCCTCGTTGATGCCGGTGAGCACCAAAACGGCGTGCTAGACAGATTTGTGTTTTTCAAGGAGACTGGAATTCGAGAAAATTTCAGTGCAATGGCAGGATGTACAGGGAAGACTAGAACAGTTTCGGATGTTAGGGTAAGAGAGTTGGGAAAAGGCCCAAGTATTGGATTCAGGGTTTGAAGATCGAGATGAGTTTAAGGGGTGGATTTTTTGGGGTCCAAAGTGTGGAGAAAGTCTAGGGTGGGAGAAATTTATGGGCGGGGAGAGAAGATCGATGGGTTCGGTGCATGAGAGGGCCTTGTGGGATTTTTCTTTACTGGTCGCAGCAGCAGCTGCGGCGGCAGGGGACCATGTGGCAGTGGTTTTAGTCAAGATGCGGCGGAAGAGGAATTTGAGGCGGGGGACGATGACATAGCGTAACTTCCTGAAACCTGCGGACTTGAAAACTAATGTTAGGCGTCATTAGCTATAGCTATACTGCAAATAGTGCTTGCAAGAGAGAGACACGGAGGAAATTGCAATAGTGCATGAAGTTATGACAAGGAGTGGAGTTTATATAGAGAGCAAAAATCTACCTCATGGAGGAAGGAAACATGCATGAATAATCCTAGTCGAACTCGGAAGCTCATCAAACTTGCCCGAAACCTTCAAATTAACTTGTAGGAATCAAATATATGGAAGAAATTTCGGGAAGCTAGATTATAATGCAGGCGGTTGAATTTGTTAGGGATTTTTTATTTATTTTTGTTAACAATTGGGACAATTGGTGGCAAACCACGGTTATCCAAGGTATGAGGAATTTCACCATGCCTATGGCTACAGACAATCAAACTCACCAACTCGGAGCATCGAACTCGAAACCTCTCACATTTTTTTGTTTATTAAGGAGTCGCAGTCCGCACCATTGCCACTGGGTCACTTGCTGTTGTTAATTTGCTAAGGATTTCAAACGAATGCTTTTGGTGCGGTTGTTATATGGATTAACATTTAACAGTATGAAGCCATCTCAGGAGGGGATTATAATTTAATTACGTGGTAATTTTTTTGTTAACTCTTTGTTTTAGGTTGATTTTCTAAAGTCTTATTTCAACTTTTTTTTCTAAACTTTTCAACCAATAAAAGGAGAGATTTTTTAGTGTATCCAAAAAACGGAGTGGTACACCACATATTACTATACAAGTGGTCAAATATTTGTGTTAATAAATAATAAAATTTCCCTCTACTTATATAATAACACGTAATGTACCATCCGTGCACCGGCACAATGAAAATTTCTCCAATAAAAAGTTCAGGTTTCAACAAAGTTGGATTTTCTCAAATTTCATTGGTTTGTTCAAAATTGTACAAAAATCAAGAATTCGACATCATGAGATTTCTTCTGATCGTTGGATTATTAGAAAAGATATAGAAATTATAATCTTGATAATTATATTCATAACACAAAAAATTAACTTTTTCGTTGCACTAAGACTCATCCTTTATATTTTCACAATTCATATACTATTTTTCCCCGTCCTTCCATCTTTCACATATTGTCTTTTAACTATGAATGTTTCGTAACAAAGGATGCAACGTAGACAGATGTTTAGTTGGGTGATACTATAAGAGGGCACCCCAATTTGCTACCAACGTATCTCTATCTAGGCCTTTTATAAGCTAAATTCAAAAGCCCACCTTTGTCCTTCTGTGGATAGCTTCGGTTTTTGGTAGCAAAAATGTTGTATGCACTCTAGTTTTGTCTCTCTACACCTTGCTTCTGTGAGCTCTGCTCTCATAAGATCCTCATTTTGAGAGTTTAGGTCCAAATGCTCAAAATTTTGACAACTTAATAAAGCAATCAAGAAAATGAGTTTTATAATGATTCATGAATTTTAAGTTGGTTTTGCTTTATTAAGTTGTCAAATATTTTAAACCTTTAGATTTAACTAATACAATCTTGTGGCTAATATTATTTGGTCCTCACAAGTCCTTAAAATAAGGACCTTAGAAGACAAGATTGTACGCCTGTAAACACCCAATAATGTTGCTAACTCACAACTATTTGATTTTTAAAGAAATGCTTCTTATGCGCTTTTCCATAAAATTATTTAAAGTTAAATTTTGAAGAACTTTTACGGGAAATAACCTCTCATGTGCCTCTTTCTAGAAGTGATTCCAACCCTCCAAAATCATTCTTAAACGAACCCTTTAAGAGCTGCACAAATCACTTTAGTAAATTACCAAAATCACCTTCTATCTTTGTTCAACTATATTTTAATCTAAGAAGTGGGTGATTTAGATTAAGCTACATAATAAATAAACTATAAAATATAACTAAATACCAAACTCTTTGTCTAGGTCGAACATAAAACCTCCTCACTTTCACTCCTCACTTTTAAGTAGAGAAAAATATTTACTAAATCTTATGCTACTTGGAACTGACAGGATCACTTTAATTCAATGAAAACAATTAGAAATGAAAGTTTACACCGTACCCTAACACTGAAAAAAAAAAAAAAAATAACACACACACACTCGCACACTAAAATGGGACAAAAATCCCACTCTCAAGTGAGGCTTTGCTAATTAGCATACAAATTAACATGGCAGGATGCACCAATTACCAAATAAATCCATGCCAACTATCACATGTTAATTAAATGGGATAGAACAAGAAACCGACAAGGCCACAAAGGGTTGGAGCTCAACCTACACACTCCACACTAAGACGCTAACAATTAACATCAACAATTCATCATCCTATTTATATATAATTACATACCAAAAAATAAATATCCACATACCTAAATTAGTAAATTAATAAGAAGATGATGGGCAATAGAAATTGAGGATTAGGGGCTGTGACATGTTTTTGGTCACAGGCTAAGCAAAAACCTGGAGTGGATCAAACACCATCACCACCACACATCACCAAAAAATCACAATCCTCGCTCTACAATAACGAGTACTACAAGTTCATATTCCATGCATCAAACGCTCAAACTATCACACTATCACACAGTATATATAATCACAAAACAAGGAAGCACAGCCCTCGGGTTATACACCAAAAGCTCCTCCTCGTCGACCTTGGAGTGTACCCCGCTGCCTCCTCGTCCCACGAGCGAGTCGAATCCACCGCCCTCTTTGTCGACGTCATCAATATCCTCCTCCGAGTCACACCCGACCCGACCCGCCACGACCCGGCAGACCAACATAGCCCGCTTCACGTTCATGAACTTAAACTCCTCCTCGATATCCTCCGGAATCGCCACGTGTGCCCTGGAGCTACTCGACAACGTGGAAATTCCGTCCAACTTGGGCGAGAATCCAGATTTAATAATCCCGCAAATACTGCAGTACTCGTGATTACAAATCCCAGAATTCCCGTTGAGTCCTAAATCGCAGACGAAAGTCGAGCAGTGAAATCGGAGAAGCTCGTTGCCGTCGGCAATGCAGCGCTCGTCTCGCCTCCGGCAAGCGCCGTTTCGCGCCGCCTTCGACTTAACCAGCTCTCTGTACTCCTCGAACCTCGACAGGATTTTGCCGCTGTTGTGGATCTTCAGGATCCGGTGAATTTCGGGGGCTTTTCGCGTATCGGTCCAACCGGTTTTGAATATGATTTGGACGATGTTTTTGCCCGAGTCTCCGTCATGGAGCTCTGAAACGGCGTGGTGGATTGCCTGGTGGTGGTCGAGAGTCTCGGGTTTCGGGAAGATTTCGCCGCAGGCGGTACAGGGGAAGATATCGTTTCGGAGAGGGAAGAATTGGTGGGAACCGGCCGAGATACCGGAGTCGGGGAATGACCCAGGTGGGTATTTGGTGTCTGGGTCGGGTAGGACGAGGGAGACGATGGAGTGGTTGGAGGAGCGGGGTGGCGTGGAGAGGTGGGATTGGATGATGTTGGTGCAGGTGATTTTGCAGGATTTGGAGGTGAAGATGCGTTTGAGATAGGACCAGGAGGTGGAGAGGGCTTTTTGGGGTTTTAGGGTGGTGGGTTTAAGGAGTTTGCGGCGGTGATGAGGCTTTGTTTGGTGGTTGGTGGTGGCGATGAAAGAGAAGCAGCCGAGGTGGAGGAGGAGGAGAAGGAGAGAGAGGAACTTGTTGAAGAGTGTTGATATGTTGGCCATTAGGGTTTTGGAAAATGAGTGTATAGTAGATGTCGATAGCTATAGGGTATGCATGAAGATGGAGAGAGAGAGAGAGAGAGAGAGAGAGAGAGAGAGAGAGAGAGAGAGAGATGATTGATGGTTAGGAAATTATGGAAGGAGAAGGAGGAGAGAGGAGTAGATGATCATGAAAGGGGAAGGAGATAGGGAGGGGGAGGAGGTGGGACACAGGAGCAGGTGAAGAAGAATAAAGCTAAAAGAGAGAGAGTAGGTGGAAGGCAACTTCATGGTATCTCTCTGTCTACCTCTAGGGATATCTCTATATC